TTTTTTGCAGTCTGAATACGGTAGGTACCTCGAAGCGACAAGCCTTTAGCTTTCTACCTGAGCTTCGGTCTACCAGAAACTTAGAAATTGCAATTTCCTCCTCTCGAAGTCCAAAAGTTCATAGAGAACGCAATAACACTGCCCCTCGTCTTCTTCTCTTTCACAATAAGTACACAAGGATGTATTTCACACCTGTTACTTATATTCCTCGCGTCTCTCCAGCTTTGTGGGCTTCCATGGCTTATCCGGTAAAATGGATGTGTATGGATGCAGAAGTCTAAAAGTTTGACTCCACAAAACCTTCCCGTTATTCAGCCATTAGAATAAAACAGTTCTAGTGGAAATAGGCGGGGTAAATAAATGCTATATTGTCGATTTACTTCTTAATATAAGGTAAGTTTCCTGGATGAAATAAACCAGGGAGACGAGTAGATCGAACATCTTTTTAACTTTACTTTTGGATTCGTTGGCCCTTAATTTCTAATAAATATCAGGGAAAGCAAACAAAAGACAGTTTTTTACCGAAAATTAAAAGAATACTGTCAACATCACACATGCTTTCAGATAATTTACAAAGACAAGGAGCTCATGCGAATGCCGAGTTATCGTTTCATGTTCTTCCTTGGCGTATTTGACATTGCTCAATGCTTTCCTCATTTTGTAACGGGAATTTTTACAGTAAAACAGACAGTTTTTCATCCAGGTCTTGCTAAAGTGAGTCTTCCATTTTTCGAAAATTCTGAAAATTCAAATTTCAGGCAATGGGTGTAATAGCCACTCCTTGTTACGTAGCGTATGCAGTTTTGACTATTTTCCTATCTTTTAACAGACTAGTTCAATTATCATCTCCTACTTTAGATAAATACTTTTTTGGAGGACAACGATGGATGGTGAGGGTTACTGTACTCGTCATAACCTTAATTTCCTTGCTTCCAGATCTGGATAGGCATGGCATCAGGTTTCTGGATAGCATTTATGATTGCCTTAGCCTCCCCTTGGGCTACAATTCGTTATATTCCTGATTGGTATTCATGGGATTATGATTATGAATTGGTTGGATCCAAATATGTACAACGGGTCGAGATGTTAATTGAAGTTGGTGGCATTTTTGTGTCCGCATTTTTCTATGCTCTGATTGTTTATCGATTGGTGAAGACGAAGAAGCGATTTTTGATCTCGAAAAGTTATAATGCAGAGATCAAAGTTTTGATTCAAGCGACAGTGATTACGGTTTATTGTACTGTTTTGAATGTTTTATGGCATAATTATTCGGTGAGGATTTTGGAATTCTTCAATAGATATTCACCCTGTCCTTTGAGCTCATTTATCTCGATTGCTATAAAAGATATCAAAAAGTAGTCAGTTGATAAAACGATATTATGATAAACATTTTATTAGTTGACACATTTTAGTTATCTCTTATAAAAACTGAGATAATTGAGCTCAAAATTAATAGTCAGGTTGCCACCTATATAATGAGAATCTTAACTTTGAGCCAAGTTATCTCGGTTCCTGACAAAGATATAAAAAATTAGTCAACTGATGAATTGTTTGTCGTAATACTACAAGCATCTTATTAGTTGATACTTTTTTGATATCTCCTGAAGAAATTGAGATAATTAACTCAAAGTGCAGACAAAGGCCAAGCTACGTGGTCGCAACTTCCAGACTGCTGGCGTAAAGCTCAATTATCTCGGTTCCCATGAAATCTGTCAAAAAGTAATCTACAGATAAACTGTTTGTAATAATATCATCAACATTTTATCAGTTGACAAATTTTTGATATCTCTTATGAGAACCGAGATAACTGAGCGCAAAGGTGACGGTTTGGGCAGGATTCTGTTCGATCAAACACAGCATTTTGCAGTAATGGAGATAGGCCGTCAAAAAAATTATCTTATTTCCTATCACCATTTTCGTAGATACTCAAAATTTTCACCTGAAAATCCCAAAATTTTCTCAAAATTTTCAGTGGATGCTTCCCCTGAATCTCTGGAGCTACACGGCTCTAAACTTCATGTGGATTCTAAATAGTGGAGTCTACCCCATAATCTACTTCATTGTTAATAAGTAAGTTTCGGTTTTTTTTTTGAAAAAAGATATCATATATAAGTTTTTTGTGATTATAGCTTCAAAATGAGTATAAACAAGCCTAGCCTAGGCTGCCTAGGTTCCAAAAAACTACAGTAATCCCAGATTGAGGGAAGTGGCTCGTGTTTTGGCTTGTTTTGAAGCTCTAGAAATAACAAGTCCAAATCTCAAACTTTCAAAAATTTTAAATAAAATTGCTCAATTTTTTCAGAGCCCTTCGTGACCGTATCGGTGTCAAGCGATCCAATACAAACGTTCTCGGAGCTGTTTCCGTTTTTCAGCACAAAACGAGAATCATGGAAAGGACTGGTACGACCACTGGACACACTATTTTTGTTGTAGCGTAGATAATTTTTTTATATTATGCGCTTTATTTTTGTTGGTAGTTATAGTAGTTTCTAATTTGGTTTCAGAAATGGTGAGTAGTCTAGAGAAAATCTAATTTTAAAGAATACAAAAAAATCTAGAAAAAAATGAGTTTTCAGCAACGCCGAAGTCGAAATCGTCGGACGATGAGAAAGTATAAACTGCTCATTGGTTTGAGCTGACGGGTTAAATTTTCTAGTTTGATTTTTTTTTCTGCATTTTTTGTCTGTAAATGAAGCAATGACTTTGATTTTGATGTTTTTCCGATTTCAAAAATACCATAGTTGCTTTAACAGATGCCCACCTCATACGTGATCTTTGAGCTCAATTATCACGATTCCTATGAAAGATCTCAAAAATCTGTCAACTGATAAAACATATCTGATGTTATGATTAACAATGTGTTAGCTGACAAACTTTTGATATTTCTCATAGGAACCGAGATGAGCTCAAAGATAATTGAGCTCAAATGGACTGTGAAGAAGTTGCGCGTGATGTATGCCGCCTGGTACGCAAGTTCAGCTGATTGTTGCGTACTAGAGATGCTATAAACGCATTTTCTGAATTTTTCAAATAGATTTAAAAATAAATAATTAACAGATTTGATTTATAAAAATAAAAATTCCAAATGTCACAGAAAGAACAAATACCAAAGAGACAGCCGGAAGAGATCAAAATAATAGCAAAGAACGCCCACCCAAACTTTGAGCTCAATTATCCCGATTCCTGTGAAAGGTATAAAATATACGTCAACTAATATAATACTATTTGATATCATGATAAACATTTCATCAGTTGACAAATTTTTGATATCGTGTGTAGGAATCGAGATAATTGAGCTCAAAGTATGTAGACGGTATAAGAAATACGGTGTTTTGTGAGAGAGAGAGAGAGAGTGTGTGAAATGAGAAGAATATCCGTTTGAAGGACGTTGGAGCACATTCAATAATTCAGAGATCAAAAATTTTGAGAACTTCAGAGCTGCAAAATTATGCATCACAAAACGGGAGATGATTTTCGGGTTGTTCTGGAAAACGGTCATGCCAGACGAGAAAATAGAAAAATGAAGTGGAAAAGACAATCGTAGCTATCTTTCCATCTTTTCGTTTCACATCCACCCCTTTGAGACAGTTGATATGACGGTATTTTCCAGTGCAATTGCTGAAAAACGAAGAGGATACACAGACACACAGACAGACAATACTTACTATTCGAAATTCCAATCGTATGGTTTATAGAACGCCGCTCTTTGCATTTCATCGAATTCCAGATAGTCCAAATCCATCAATATTCTCCTGGGATTTGCATCACATGGATCCAGGGTCATTATAGGGATTTCGAGGAATTTGAATTTCGAATTTTTCGATTCCAACCACTTTTTGATAAAAGAGTTCAAAGCGGTTGCTGTGATGGTGACGGACCAGAATTTGATAGTTTGACAATCCAAGCTCAGAAGATTTGTTTCAGAGATCCTATTCTTGTTATAAGTCACATTGAGATGATCGATTTGGCATAGCTGAAAAAAATTTACATTGGAGCGTGTTTGCTTAGGACACTTACTCTTGGACTGAAAAACTCCGTTTCACTTAGTGAGATATCAATATTGAGATTCTTCAAATCAGCCATCATCTCAAGAATCTTATGAGCTTGCTCCACAAACTCATCGCTTCGAATCGCAATAGCCAAACATTCACATTTCCGACATTGTTCGTAAAGAGCAATCATTTTAGCAGCGACTTCTGAATCCGGTGGTTGAATTCCACGAAGATCCATGTAGAATAGAGGGGCGGGATTTGGGAAAATGAAGAAGTGGTGACGGAAAAGATTTTTGTAGGTGGATGGAGTATTATGAGTGAAAATTCGGAATTCTTTGCGGAAGTTGACTCTGGAAAATTGGAAATTGTATTCTATAATACTTTTGGTATTTTACAGTTAAATTAATAGAATGGCCCTTCGAGAGGGGCCTGGAAAAACAAAAGAGTCCCCTTCACTTAAAGGGCCCCTAATAGAAGGGCCCTTCGGAGGTATCTGGGAACAATAAGTGCCGCCCCTTATATACAGGTCTTACGGTATTGAAAAAATTGTTAGTTCCAACTCACACTCGATACGTGAAGCCGTCGTAGGTGTAGTCGATTCTGAAGTCGTTGTGGTGAATTTTCTGCCTAAAATGATAAATTTTCCGGGCCTGAAAACCAAAGTCCTCACAATTCATAATCAACCCCATTAATCTTCCGAACTAGGAACTTTTTCCAGATTTTGTTTCTGAAAAAGTTGGTGATCTGTCGGAATTTCGACGGTAGTTCCTGCTTCTGGACAAGCTCCATTTCGATTCCTGAAGTTTGTTTATTTGGTCTAACTTTCAAAAAGAGAACTTATTTGTCTCATCGTTATCAAATCCTCTGTTCGCTACACAAACTGTTAAATGTCCCTCGTTGAATTGGATTCTGGTGACACCCAGATTCAATGATCGCACTTTTTTCTTGGAATCCGAAGAGCACATCGAGAGGTCGAATCTGAAAAAAATAGTATACCCTAAAACATGTTACAGAAGGGTCCACTAATTTTTGACTTTGAGTCAATTATCTAGGTTCTTCTGAATGATATCAAAATATAGTCAACTGACAAAATATGTTTTGTTTTCCGATAAACATCTTATCAGTACACACATTTATGATATCTTGCTCAGGAAGTGAGATAATTGAGCTTAAGCTTTACAGTGTGGGGCCCATCCCTAGGAAATCAATTTCACAGTCTCCAAGCTCTCCGACTCACTGATCATCCGGTGGAAGTAACTTCCAATTTTCTAAAGTATCTGGGGACATCGATCCTTGTCGATCGTCTTCACTTTCTTTTTCCTCTTCATCCTCCTCATCTGATAGCTCTTCGTTGATTTCCTCAAGTTCCGGTGGAAACGGATTCATATACTCAATCTGCCAATCATCAGAAGTTGTCGTTGGCTGATCGGACGATGTTGATGTTCCAGGTTCGCTCATTCCGGGAAAGCTTAAAATGAGGAAATAGTAACGGAATTTAGAGAGGGGCTAAAGGATTCTGGTGAAGAGCTACAGAGAAATTTAACGCTAAAAAACGGACTTGCGAGGTGCGAATTGGTCGACCGCGGGCCAAACGTTGGTCAAGTAGCCTTGCCAAATTGTGGAACTCATTTTGTAGGCTGAAGAGAGAATGAAATGATTCTAATTTTTGAATAAATTAGTGTCTCTATTCCAAATATTCAAAATGTATACAAATCAAACTCCGCCCCTTTTTCTCGCTAGATACACCATAATCATCTTCTGTTTACGAAAACAATTTCAAATATAAATTAGCTCGGATGAAAAAGTTCTTCTGATATTATACGAAAAGAGAGACTCATGTGGAAAAAAAAGTAAAACAACAAAACCAAAAAAGTTATTACTATGGAAACGAGGGGAAGAAGAAGAATAAGAAGTAGGAGGAGAAGTAGAAAAAATGTGATATGGAGATAAGAGGCAGAAGAGCTGCGAGGAGAAGTAAAAGGGGAAGAAGAAAAGAAGGAGGTGTTGCTGGAGGAGAGGTTTTGAAGATTAGGTAGGCAGAGTACTTTTTGTTTGTTGTCAGGTTTTTTGGGGAAGAGGAAAATGGTCAAAACTCGAGAGAATAGATTCCAGAAATGTTTAATGTTAATAATTAGAGTTCGGGAATCTTGAACAAAAAAAAACGCTCTAAAAGAACGTCACCAGGACCGTCCACTTTGAGCCTAAATATCTCACTTCTTTTGAAAGATATCAAAAAGTTGCCAACTAATAAAACGTTAATCATGATATCAGCAACATTTTATTAGCTAATCACTTTTTGATATCTCTCACAGAAAATGAGATACTTGGGCTCAAATTTGATGGGTCTATTGACGTTCTATTAGAGTTTTTACGGTAATCTTCGAAACCCGTTTATTACAGCATCGGAAAACAGATGCCATTTGCTGAAAACTCTCATAGAAAAATGAAAAAAAAAACTTTTCAGCTTCTAAAAAACTAGGAATCAGGACTTTTAGGAATTTTAGGAGTTTTTGAGGAATTTCAGTATGGAATTGCTAAGAAACTTTACTACATAGGACTGTTGAGGAATTCTGATTTTTTGGGATTTTCAAAATTTTCTGCAATTATTTTAAAATTGTTTTTTGAATGTTCGAAATTTCGAATTTTATGAAATCTTCGAAATTTTCCAAGTTTCAAGAATACTAGAAAAATATGAATTATTGAACATCTGAATTCGAAGATTCTAGATGTTTCTGAAAAATTAAATTTTTTTAGATTTCCAGAAATTTCAGAAATCTTAAGTATTTTTGATTTTCAGAGATACTCTACCTTTTTCAAAAAAATTCTCTCTAATTTCTGATTTTTAATTTCTGAATTTTCTGATTTTTGAATCTCCGTTTTCTGAGCCGCAAATTAAGCAGTTTTCTATTATGTTCGTACCAAATAATCGGAATTTCAAACTCTTTTAAAAAATGATACCAGCTTTCAAACCTACCTAAACAAACCTTTTCTTCTAAATTTCACCGAAAGCTATAATTAATTCCCACCTTTCACACAAAAATTTCTCACTTACGAGAGAGCATGTGAAACGAAGAGAGGGAAGCAATCAATTTTTCTGAGAAACAACAGGTGAAAATGAGTTGGTAGAGAGGAGAAATATAAATGATATTCAGATATCCAAGTCGTTTCGTTTGTTCTGAATGCTTGTAGAGAGCGAGCAAGGATACGCTCTAAAGGAATGGGCTCTCCTGATTTTTAACTTTTAGCCAATTTATCCCGGTCAGTTCCCCACTTTTTGATATTTTTTTTACAGGAAATGAGATATAAGGGCTCAAGCCATTCTATGAGAGTTTTTACGGTATTCAAGTCTACAGTATGGATTACTGTAGCTTAATGGAAACATGTATTTTTAACCTGAAATATTTTTCAATGGAAATTTACTTTGATTGTTCCACATAAAATCTGAAAATTTTGAAATAAAATAAAATCGAAAAAGTTCATTCATAATTCAAAAGGTTTATCAATATATACAGAAAATCGCAGAAAAAACACATAATTGCACCATGTGACTTGGAGACAGACGAATGTTGAGTTTCTAAAATGAGTCACATGAGAATACACAGGGAAATGAGGTCGATGTTAAAGAGAAACAGTCGTTCGATTTTACAACCAATCAAAGATGTGCCGGATATAAATTATGTCTGGAAGAAGGAAAATCTGGAAGACGGAAAAATAATTTCAAGATCCGGAATGAGGAAAAAGGAGGAGGAAAAAGTAATAAAAAACATCGAAAAGGAATTCAGGCTTTTAGTCAGTTCAATTTAGGTCAGGTTTTAAAAAAGTTGAAAAGTTGAAAATTTCAAATGAAAATTATAAAGATTATCCGGAATAATGAAAAATCAGAAAAATCGAAGAAAGAATAAAAATTAAAAATCCGGGTTAAGAAATAAGGAATTTCACCCATCTCTGCTACGAGCACAAATGCGGTAAAATGGGTCTTCATATAAGAGATATCGAGTTTCAAAAGATTTCCAAATAAACTTTTAATTTAATTTAATTTGATAGATTTAAATTTTCTAGAGAAACGATTCATTTTGGTACGGAAAAAAAAAAGAAAATTTTGGGAGATATGTGTAAGAGAAGATATCCCGAAGCGAAAAACAAAACAACATATACCATTATTTCCTGTAATGTTCATATTTTGCTTTTCTTCTCCTCTTGAAACCGTGTTATTAAGATTACCGTAAAACCTGTTTTAGAAGGGCCGACCCTTTCATTTTTCCAAGGTTCCTCCGGCGGGCCCTTCTATTACAGGGGCCCTTGAATTGGAGGAAGCCATTTTATTTTTCCAGTCGTTTTCTCAAATTTTTTTCACAGAACAATTCAGTCACTTCTCGTAAAAAATTCATGAAAATCTATCAATTCCACAAAATTTGAACAGGTTTTTGAGCAAATTTTTCAAAAAATTTCTATGAAATAGCCGGATTTTTTTAACTGAAAAAGTACGGAAATTTTTAATTTCTAACAACATATTTTGAAGACGCTCTTCTATTACAGGGATTGCTTCTATTTTCCAAGCCCCTCTCGGAGGGCCCTTCTATTAGAGGGGGCCTTCTAATACAGTTTTTACGGTATCATACTCTCGACCTTATTACTGTCTTTTCATTCCTATCACTCACATAGTATTTTTTCAGAACACCAGAGTAAAACAAAGGTAATTAATTCGGTGGTCCCCCGCCTCAACATCATGGACCCCGAACCGCTCCGATTCCTCCGACCGATCGATTCTGAAGATCAATCAACAATCGATACGGAAGGAGAGGATACGTCTTCAATACTATCAGATGACGTGCCTTACAGAATGAATAATACTGATCTGAACGAAGAACGAAATATTAATCGCACGCTCCGTTATTTTTTTGGGCTTTTTTTAAAAAAGGAAACAAACGGATTGCCAAAAATCTTCAGAATTCTGATTACGATATTATATTACTGCTGTCTATTTTTAATGCATTTTGCGCCCGAGAAAACAAGGGTGGGCGGGGTTTAGTTCTTTAGAGGAAAACATTAAAGGCGCAATTTAAAGGATCATGCCTTTTTTCGGGGTCGATTTGCGGGGTCAATTTTTGGAATTATTTTCGGGCCCATTTTTCGATGAATTTCTTCACAAAAAACCCGGCAAATTGCATAAAGACGCATAAAACCCAGAAAATAAATGAAAATCGACGAAAAATTAAAAAAAAAAAACTGACCCTGTAAATCGCCCCCGCAAAGGGCATATCCTTTTAAATTGCGTCTTTAATGTTTTCTGTTGAAAAGCTAGACTCCGCCCACCGTCGTTTTCTCGGCCGCAACGTGCATTGAAAATAGACAGCAGTAATAGTTGTTTGTTCATAGATTAGTTGTGTTGCATTGATATTAATCGCTTTTCTTGGTTTGATTTCAAATCCATTTTCGTCGAGCCTTCACAGTCATTCCATTGAATTGTTGTTTCTCGAACATTCCAAGTAGTTCCATTTAGATCCAAGCAGTGTAGCCGGACTTCGAGGTTTTGATTCTCGAAGGTTCTGATTCCAAAAATCGTTTCCATCAAAATTTCTCCAGTAGATTTGAAGTGTTTCGTTCAGATGGTTAGCTTGTTCTTTCAAATTGCTCGTTTCGCGATTTTTGATTTTTTTTCTTCTTGACTAATCGATTTCGATTTCGAAAAAATTAATCGATTTCGAAATAAAAGAAGAACCTCTTGCTTGATTAGCTAGGTAAACCAAGCATACGAGTAGCACATCGAAAAATTTTTACTTTTTTCCTGGTTTCAACTGAAAATGTGAATCATTTATTAAGTTTTTGTCCGGTACAGCACCTAAATGTTAGCATAAATGTCTGAAATGAAATAAGGGACCAAACCAAATGGATAATCTCCTTTGAGTTGTTTTTCAAAGCTATTTTGGAAAAGTTTTTCTCAAAAAAATTTTTGCAAAACCCCTGTTCGTTTTCCATGAAATTGAACATTCATATAAATGAATTTTCAGTATTTTTTATTACTCTTTTATCTACATTTTTCAATTAAGATGTATTCATGGCACTGTATTAGCCAGTTGCCAAATGTCATGTAATGACACTCGACATCTGTTGATCTTCTTCACCACGTAGAGGTTCAGTACCGATCGAAGAAGGTACAAGTGCGAGAGCCACGGAATTGACTTCGAGAGGCCACAGAGTTGTTGTCTCTTCACTTCAATCCGCTGTCGGGAGTTTCTCGCGAAACACGCCGTTCAGCAAGACTTATCTTATGTCAAGCTGATCCTCAGTTGTCACAATCGCGAAAGATCCTTCCTCGGATATCATGGGTGAATCGTAGATCCTGTTGATTTGGTTGTCCTCAGAATCGTAATGTACGTCGTCATCGATTGAAGTAGTTTCCAATTGAAGGTCGGTGTCTTCTTGATTGTTGTTTCTGATTTCGGCAGCAATGATACCATAATCCATTTCTGATGTTTCGTTGTTATCCACAAATGACTGGTAGACGAAGTCATTGTTCGGTCCATCTTGAATATGGTTCATTATGATCCCTGGTTTAAATGTCGCATTGTCGTCTGATGGTGTAAACTCCGCATGGTGCTCCTCTTGTATTGCAGATGTATTACTTCCCCTTGGATCACCAATTGCGTTAGACAATGTCAGTTGATTTTCCATAGTTTGCTTAGATGAGGCTGAAAATTCGAAAAATTAGGAAAAGGGTCTCCAGAAGGTCAGAGTCAAGAAAGTTGGCAAAAAAAAACGGAAAATTGGTGTCAGAAACTCGAAGGAAAGATAAGAGAAGATATATTTGAGAAAACGTGAGAACTGATAGGTGGAGCAGTTGTTAAATACAAACTTTGGAGATCGAACGGGTAGGACAGAACTTGAAGCAACGACAAAATGAATAAAAAATAAATAAATAGGAAATAGAATACAAGATCATCAACGAGATAATTTGATACCAGGTCATAGGAAATTGAGATATCTAAGCCATAAGGAATTCAAGTTGCTCGGATTCAGAAGATTTTCGGACATTTGGGATTCTAGACCATGGTGTTTTCACCCTAATAGAACGCGGAAGAATTAAGGTCATGACGTTCTTTATGTGAACAAATTTCAGGTAATTTTTCATCTTATAGTTAGTTCCTAAATGTAGGAATGGAATTCAATATCCCAAATTAGGTCATTTGATCCTAGGTCATAGGCAATTGAGAGCTGTTCGGATTCAGAAGATTCTCGGTGGTTTGGGATTCTAGGCCATGGTGGTTAGGGAACTGACCTTCTGAATATAATACAAGCCGTTAGAATTAAGTTAATGACAAATCCTAGATCGTGACGTTTTGTCTGTGATAAATATTCTAGGTTATTCAACATCTTACTTCTAATCAAAGTGGAAATTGAGAGTCAAAAAGTGAGAACAAGAAAATAAGAAAAGGAACTGAATAAGCAAAAAAATAAGTTTCGACAATTCGAAAAAGAAGGTTGGTACTGTATTAGCCAGCTCCCAAATATCCAGGGGACACTTGGAAGCTGTTGATCTTCTTCACCACGTAGAGGTTCAGTACCGATCGAAGAAGAATGCGAAGTACCAGACTAGGTCACGGAATAGAATTCTCCAAATCCGTTGGTAAGCAAAATGCCGCTCAGCAAGACTTATGTCATGTCAAGCTGATCCTCTGCAGATTCAAGCACTGAAGATCCTTCCTCAGATATCAGCGGAGCGTCGTAGATTTTGTCTATTTCGTTTTCTCCAGAATCGTGATATACGTCGCAATAAGCAAAATTATCATCGTTTGAAGTTTCCGATTGAATGTCGGTGTCTTTTTGATTGTTGTTACTGGTTTCGGCAGTACGGTAGCAGTGTGAAGCGGTGAAAGATGTGTTGAGAGGAAGAAATAAACAATTGAGAACGTTTTGTTTAGAAACCAAAGAAAATGGGAAGACATTGAAAAATCATAAACAACAGGAAAACAATTATTGAGATCAAGCCAATTCTGAGGAATCGCTGATAAAATGTGGAAAAAAAGTTTGAAATATTCAAATATACAGTAACCCTATCCTTTTTGATATTTTTCTTTCCAAAATATAAGCCTAAAAGTCACACAAACAAACGGAACATACAATTCTTCTCACTATTTATGTTGATTCTTTCTGTATCCAAAAAACTCTCATCTTTGAGCTCAATTATCTCGATTCCTGTAAATGATTAAATGATATCAAAAAGTGGTAAACTAACAAAATATTTATCATAATATCAGTAACATTTTATCAGTTGATCACTTTTCGATATCTCGTATGGGAACCGAGATAAATTGGCTCAAAATTGAAAGTTGGGGAGGGGTCATTCTATAGTGTTTACGGTATTCTTAAATTAAAAATTTGAATATTCCCGCAATTTTTTCTCAATTTTTCTGAATCACGTTTTCCTATTTCTACTGATAAACTTTCAACTGATAACAATCCACAAACAAACTAGAGAAGTCACAAAAAAATCGACGACTGAAGGACACGTCGAATAGCTCCTTTTCTCTCTCAATTCCCTCTTTTTTCTCTTTTCCGCAGGAGTGAGATAGAGGAAGAAGAAGAGACGCAGAGAAATCGGGAGAAGTTTCGAGAAGAAAACATGAAAACTATGTAAACACCAACACGCGAAACTGCACAGAATTGGATAGAATTGGAGGGAAAGGTTGGAATTTGAAAAATGAATATTTTTATTTATTTTTATTTTATTTGAAATTTATTCCAGTTCCAATAAAAATCCATTGTATTCTTCAAGTTTCTTTTCTCAAATCGATGATAGGAAGGATCTGAAAAATCAAATATTTTTTCAAGTTTCGAAAAAATTTATGAAACTCACATTATACGAAAATAATCAATTTCGAGACGGCATTTGGGTAGTGAACCCCTGTCCGTCTCGGAAACCAGAAAACAGTAAAACAAAGAAAGAATAAGACATTTCAACACTCAAACTTTATTAAAACGAACTTTTGGAAGTACACAATTTGGCGTCTTCTTCGGCAGCTGGCTCCTTCGACATCTTATATCCTAAGCGAAGACTTGGAATAGACGAGACGGCGGCTTTCTTGCAGTAAACAGAGAACTGATCTTCTTCCTTCACAGAAACTTCACATCGACCGTTCCACGTAGCAAATAAGATTCGGGATAAGATTTAGGCAACATAAGGAGACGGTCACGTAACTTGGAAATCCATACAAACTGAATCCTCCAAATAGCTCGTAGCACAAAGCAAGAGATATTGCATTATATTTCAATATCCTCAGATAGGATAGAGAGTTTCCACAGTTTGGAATTATTCTTACAACTTAAGATGTGCTTACAATTAAGGAACACAATAATGCCAATAGCATAAAGTTGTGGAAGTAATGTACGATACATTACTTCCGCAACACATTGGGAATTTGTTGAAAATTGATTATTCTGGAAAAATAGGATTTTTTACGAAATGCTTGATTTTTCTGAAATTACATTCTATGGCATTGTGGAGGAATTGAAATTTTGATACTGATTTTTTGAAAAATCATTCAGAACTTATCTGAAAAATGGTGGTTTTTTGAAATTCGTGAAAAAATGGTCACGGAATTTTTTATTTTTTCAGATTTCCAGTATAAAAAAAAGTTTGAACTTGATTTTTTTTGAATTTTTTTCTGAACTAAATTTTTGATTTTTACGTAGCTTTTTACCAGCATTCTTTTCTTCACGTTTCTACCTTTTTTGGGGCTGTAGAGGCTTTTCATGGATTTTCAAAGGTTTTTAGGTTTTTAGGACTCTTTGGGGTCTATTCTTAGGACGGAATTTTTAGTACGAAAACTTCACGTAAAATATCAATTCTTCCAAAAAAAAATTACTTGAAAATCTGAAAAGAAATGAATCCGATCACCAAAAACTTCGAAAAATAGTATACCGTGTTTTCTCTAATGGGAGCTCACCCAAACCGACATCTTTAATGTCAATTATCTCGATTCCTGTGAGAAATACCAAAATTTTGTCAACAGATAAATTGTTCATCATAATATCAACAATATTTTATCAGTTTTCGAATTTTTCATATCTCTTATAGGAACCGAGAAAGGTGACAGTGTGTGTGGGATTCTATTAGAATAAACACTTTATCTAATTGCTCAATTATCTCGATTCCTGTGAGAGGTCTCGAAAAACTTTCGACTGATAAAACATTTAACATAAAATCACAAATTTAGTTGACGGTTTGGGTGGGATTCTATTACAGATTCTACGGTAGCATAATAAATGATGTTCTTCTTGCAAATAGTTTTTATTTGAATTCCTTAGTTTCAAGTTGAAAATTTCAACATAATCAGTTTCATAAATACAAAAATCGACACAAAAATTATAATCTCAAGCAGCATCAATGATATCATCAGGACCCGTTCTCTGGTTGTATTTATCCATCCAAAAGCTCTTGGCAGCCACATATTTCCTACCACGCATCACCACATAGATTGCGAGTCCCTGGGCGGCGGTGAAAGCGATCTGGAAAATGCGCTCCGATGAGAATCTCGTTAACAATAAAGCGCACTTACCTGAAACAGAGTCCATCCTAAATCAAATCGAATATTCCCGAAAACTCTTCGATGTACGTCCATGGCAAATGCGCCAAGAGTCAGGATTGTGAAAATGCAGTTCAAAATGAAGTTTGTCATGTAGAATACAAGGAATGGGCTGAAAAATGTTGTTTAGAGCTATCAGGAAATACAGTACCTGTCCAAAATTCTACTTATTTTTCATATTTTCAGTTGAAAATGGTCTTCTTCAGATGTCTAAAAACTACAGTAGATTTTCTTCCATAAGACTGAAAACGTGCATTTTTGGTGAATACTTTCGAAGTCCCAAAAACGTAGTACAGAATTGTTCGATTTGCCTAAAAATTTTAGATAAAACTATTATAATCAAAAATAGAGCTTCAATTTTGTAGTTGGCAATGAATTATCAAACCAGATAAACTAGATAAACTATTGACTGGTACTGTATCTACCGTAGTTTCTATAATCACCGTCATTTTAGAATAGATTCTTACCTGAAAAACACCTTCTTGCTCTTCTGGAGCCCATAGAACAACAAAACGTGGCATGGAAGGCCAACGAGGAAAGCGAAAATCAGGTCAACTGAAATTTCAGATACTTAATTTTTATTTCCATTAAAGCACACTTACTGATTTCTAAATGATCGATAAAGGGATTCCGTCCCTGACCACGAGAGTGAAAGAGAGAGTAGGAGACGCAGAATGCAGTGGTTACAGCAAATCCAATAGCACAAGCGATGTAGGATCCGACCTGGAAAATTTATTTGAATTCGAATTTTCATATAAATTTTATAAAACCTACTTTCACATGAACATTTGTTCCAAATAACCGGAAAGCCTTGTCGTTTTCTTTGAATGTGATCACATCTGAGCCATCTAGTCTGAAAAACTTTGAATTTTATTTTAAAAGATAGGAGGATGCTTTTAGAAACCCAGAATCTTGAAATCACACATCTTGATAATCTCAGAACCCTGAAATTCTAAGAATCTCTAAATTTCTATTAAAAAATACCTTGTCTCGAATCTCGAATAATCTACTTCCTGCTCATGTACAATCCCCTTCAGGAAGTACTGTACTTGGGTTACTGTAGGAAGTTTTGAGCGCCACGAGGACATCTGGAAACGGGGAAATTTGGAAAAAATCATTATTGGAAGAGTCCAAAAAAAAACCTTGAAAGCGATATATGGAGAAAAGTGGAAGTGTTTTTTTAAAATACAGTTTGGCGGTAATTCAAATTCTTTAAATAATCTTTTGAATTACAGGAAGTCTGGAAGATTCCACAATTTTTTTGTACCAGGAAAAATGCGTAATTTAAAATTTTCAGTTTTTCGGAAAATTTCAACAGAAAGAGATGAATGGTTGTGGAGAGGAACAACTATAGTCTCAGCGCTCGTTCTGGAATTTTTTTGTTCCAAGCGGCATATCCTATCAGAATGAAACTGGGCAAAAAAGTTGTCAACTACAAAAATGAAGCTTTATTTTTGATAGTATAGATTAAAGTTTTTAGAGCAATTGGAAAAACTTGGGTTACTTTTGTAGGATTTCAAAGTTGATCACAGTATTTTCTCTAATAGAAGTCCACCCTGTACCTGTACGTTGAGTTCAATTATCTTGATTCCTGTGAAAGATATCACAAATTTGTCAACTGATTAAGTATTGGTGATATTATCAGCAACATCTTGTTAGTTAATCACTTTTTGGTATCTTCAAAAGGAACCGAGATAATTGAGCACAAAGAGTGCAAGTATGGTGGTGACGCAGTCAGCCGTCTGCGCGCGGCGCCGTCCGAAATGTGAGCGATTTGAGCCTAAATCTTTCGATTCCTGTCAAAGATATCAAAAATGTGTTAACTGATAAAATATTGTTGATATTATCAGCAACATTCTATTAGTTGACCACTTTTTGATATCTTGCATAAGAACCGAGATAATTGAGCTCAAATAAACGTATAGAGAGGGCTTCTTTTAGAGCATCCACTGAAAACGTCAAAATATGACAGCTTTTTCAAGGTACTGTAGAGATACTGTATTTTTTCAAAGAAGATATTCAAATTCACAAAAAATCCTGAAACTTTCAGCTATCTCTACACTTCATATTCTCCTGCAAAACAGTCTAAAAACCATCAGAAAAAGAAAAAGAAACTAGAAACTACAGTATGTCCTTCACACTACTAAAAAGTAAGCAAAGTATTAATGGAAAAAAAGAGGAAAAGAGAGAAAAAACCAACTGGTCAGATCTGCAAAAAAAAGTATGTGTATGACAGTATGAGGGGCAAATCCTTATGATCTAACTCGTTTTTTCTCTATGCCAACAGGCAATTTGTATAGATTTACAGGGAGATAAATCGATAATAGGATACGGATACCAAGGAAAAAAGTATAGGAGAAATAGAGGATAAGAAGAGGAGAACTTATTTGTGTTTTCGATTTCATTTCTTCACTCAAACATTTTTATTTTAGGGTAGAAAAAAACCGGTTTAAAGGCGCATGGGTGGTTTTTAAAGATGTCGCTGAAGGGATAAACAACTTACTGATAAGGGTATGATCTATGGTGGGGAGAACTACAAACACCAAATTGAGAAATCTCAAAATCTCAGAATCTCAGAATCTCAAAATCTTAGAATTTCAGAATCTCAGAATCTCAGAATCTCAGAATCTCAGAATGTCAAAATCTCATAATCTCAGAATCTCCGAATCTCTGAATCTCTAAAACTGCGAATCTCAGAGTCTCAGAATCTCAGAAACTCAGAATCTCAGAATCTCAAAATCTGAGAATCTTGAAATCTGAGAATCTCAAAATCTCAAAATCTCAGAATCTCAGAGTCTCAGAATCTCAGAAACTCAGAATCTCAGAATCTCTGAAACTCAGAATCAGATTTCCAGAATTTTAGAAGATCAGAATTCTGGAATTTTAGAATTTCTGAATTTCAAAATTACAAAATTACGAAGTTACAAAATAAAAAAAACCGAATGTCAAAATCTTTCAGAATTTCAGAATGGGAAATTTCGGAATTTCAGAAATTCAGAATTTTAGAATTTATGAAACTCAGAATCTTAGAATTTCAGAATTTCAGAATTTCAGACTTTTAGAATTTCAGAATCTCAGAATCTCAAATTCTCAGAACCTCAAATGCTCAGAATCTCAGAACCTCGGAATTTCAGAATTTCAGGATTTCAGAAATTAGAATTTTAGAATTTCAGATTTGATTAATTTTTAAAAATGTGTGGATTTGGTGATCTTAAGATTTTGAGAATTTAATTTCAGGATCTCCGTTCCTTCAGACTCCTTCATAATCTTTCAGAATTTCAGAAGTTTAGAATCTTAGAATCTCAGAGTTTCCAAATTCCGAAATTCTGATTACTGCAAAATCAATTTTTTTCGAAAAAGACACGTGTATTGTTTCCAAAGAAAGGTAAGAAAATAGAGAGGACGATCTGGAGAACAGGCAGAAAAATAAGATGGATTTTCTTCGGAAAACAAGGTCGTCTGACTGTCTGCGTCTCTCTCTCTCTCTCTCTCTCTCTCTCTCTCTCTCTTTCTCTCTCTCTTTCTTTAACTTTTATTCTTGATTCCTTTTTCTTCTTTCTTTTCTCGAGAAAATTGTACAAGAAAATTGATGTTTCGAGAACAGAAGATGAAGAAGTTGGAAGAAGAATTAGAGAGTTTAAAGGGACATGGAAAACAAGAAACATTAAAGAAAAGGGAAGAAGAAGGTGTTAATTGAACGGAAGAAAATTGGAAGGTGTGGGGAATGGAAAAAAAAGTGGTTGTAAACGGACATGAAAGGGTGTGGAATTGGAGGAGAAAGAAGAAGGAAAAGAAGAAGAGAGAGAGAGAGAGAGACAACTTTTAATTAGAGATCAATTTGAATAGAAGGAGATGTGGATTTGGGGGATTGTGAAGGTTTCTGAGAGATTCTGAGAGATTGTGATAGATTATGAAAGTTCGAAGTTTTGAAGAATTTCAGAATTCGAAATCTCAGAATCTCGAACCCTCAGAATTTCGAATTTTCGAAATTTCAGGATTTCAGAATATCACAATTTCAAAGCTAGAGATTTCTGAAAATTTGAGAACCTGAGAATCGTAGATTCAGAAATTCAGAAATTATGAAATCTTGAAATTCTGAAACTCTGGAATTTTGAAATCTTGAAAATTCTGAAGGATTCTGAAAGTCCGAAGGAATCTGGAATTCTGAAGTTTTCAAATTCTGAAATTCTGAGACCCCTTAATTCTGAAATTCGGAAATTTCAGAATTTGAAACTTTAGATTCCTGGAAAATTCTGAAAATATGAAACTAGAAAATTTTGAAAGGTTCTAAGGTTTTGTCGAATTCTGAGATTTTAATGAATTCAAAAATTTAGAAATTTGGAAGTTAAAACAAATTCTTTCTAATTCAGAGATTCTAAGGTTCTAAGATTCTGAAAAAATTTCTCGGAATTCTGATATTCTGTTGGATTAAAATATGTCTCTATTCATAAAACGGAAGAAACGAGATATCTATTTTTTGGTGGCGACGACGGTGGCGTGAAATTCTGCGTCCAGCTCTTTCGTGAATGTTGCCATTAGGCTCATCACAGTCCATCACTTCCTATCTTCATATTTTCTGCAGGTTTTCCTCTGAAAATAAAATCATTATCAAATACTATATTCTCTTGTTTTCTAGAATATTTCAAAGATATCTGGATCAATTCAAAATTTTCCAAAATATTAAAAAATTCAAAAAATTATCTGAAAAAGTTTAATTCACAAAATTCTGGAATCTTCAAACATTTATTGCTCACCTTGATATAAGAGAAGAGTGTCGTGCAGAGAGACACATACTGTGTCAACTGTTCACGAATCGATTTCACGATGTCGAAAATCGATGGCTCCACTTGAATTTCAGAATTTTTGCATGTAAAAATTTTGGTTTTTTTCAAATTTTGTGATTTTTTTTGTGGAATTTTTGAGTTTTTGATATTTTGAATATTTTGAAAATTTTTAAATTTGAGTTTTTGAATTTCTGAATTTTAGAGTTTTATAACTTTAGAATTTCAGAATTTTAGAATTTCAGAATTTTCGAATATTTGAATGTTTGAATTTTTGAATTTTCGAATTTCGAGTTTTTGAATTTTTAAATTTTTAAATTTTTGAATTTTCGAAAACTTAAATTTTTGAATTTTTGAACTTTTGAATTTTTGAATTTTTGAATTTTTGAATTTTTGAATTTTCGAATTTTGAGTTTTTGAATTTCTGAATTTTAGAGTTTTATAACTTTAGAATTTCAGAATTTCAGAATTTTAGAATTTCAGAATTTCTTAATTTTTTGAATTTTTGAATTTTTGAATTTTTGAATTTCTGAATTTTTGAATTTTGAGTTTTTGAATTTCTGAATTTTAGAGTTTTATAACTTTAGAATTTCAGAATTTCAGAATTTTAGAATTTCAGAATTTTTGAATTTTTGAATTTTTGAATTTTTGAATTTTTGAATTTTTGAATTTTTGAATTTTTGAATTTTTGAATTTTTGAATTTTTGAATTTTTGAATTTTTGAATTTTTGAACTTTTGAATTTTTGAATTTTTGAATTTTTGAATTTTTGAATTTTTTAATTTTTTAACAAACAATCCAAAAAGCACAAAAAATATAGAAAATTGTATTGAGAGCTCAAAATTCGGTTCAAAATGACAAAATTTTTGCTACCGGGCCTTCCGGGCCGGGCCCGGGCCTTGAAATTTTCCTCAGGCCCGGGCTTTGGCGGGTCGGCCCGAAATTTTACAAGTATGGGAAGAGGGAAAAAAGCAAAAAATAAAAATTTTTGAAGACGTGGAGAGCAGTTCATCCATCATTCAGTTACCAGCTTCAATTATTTTTCTTGTGATGGATCTGGAAAAAATATTGAAAAGAAGGGTTTTTTCTGGTTAATTTCAGTCCGTTTTGGCTGATTCTTTTTTCTATCGATAGAAAATCTCTCTGGCTATCCGGTTACCGAAAATCGTCAAAAGTTGAACCGGTTGAACTAAGTTATGATTAAAAACGTAAAAGTGAATTCGATTTTTTTTCCGGTTTTCCGGCTTTTTCCGCCGAACTAGGGCCG